AATCCCCAAAAAGGACCGGAGGGGGGAAGACCAACCCGGCGGGGGATTCCCCAAAACCCCCAAGGGGACCTCAGGGAACCCAGAGTCAGCCGCAGCCACTTTCTCCAAACTGTGGCCGATATGGCCCGTCCTTGGGGCAGCCAAAGCGTGCAGGCTCCAGATCGAGGCAAACCGGCAGTCGTGACTCGTTGAACAGGGGGGAAACCCAGGTGAAAGATGAACCCAAAAGGAGACACCCTAACTCCTCCCCCCACCCGAGACGGGGCCAGAGGCACCCAAGTCCCGGTGGGAAGAGATCTCACGACTCCACATCCAAAGAGGCTGTGAGACACGACCTAGCGGCTCTCACCCTTCAAGATCGCCTCCTTAGCCACCGAGTGGATGGCCGCCAGCCCTGACTTCTCCGGGTTGCTCAAAATGACCGACCACAAGGCAGTGGAGACATCCTCCAGGCCATTCGAGGAGCTGAAGCGCATGCGCGGGGTGCTCGCGTCGCCATGGGAGGCTCCGTCGGCTCCACCCTCTTGTAGAACTCCATCCTGTCCCGGATCCACTGATTATATAGCTGCTCCGGGGGCTCGTCCATCACCAGGCAGCCTGGTCCCCCCGCGGCTCGCCCTCCAGAAGCCCTTGCAAAACCTGCACATGTAGCCCCCGGTGGTCTTGAACTTCTCCTTGCCCACCACTTCCCAGGCGCTGATGCTGGGCAGGACCAGGCCGCACTCCACGGAGGCCCAAAACACGTGCTTCGTCTCCTTTGGGAAGTGCTTGTTGATGTACTTCCGGACCGCCGTGACCGTGGACGTGGTGATAGGAGGGTACCGCCTGGTGCCCTGGTCCGGTGTGCGGAGCGTGGTGTCCGCCCCCCCCAGAATCTTGGCCTTGGGGTCCGATTCCTTGGCCGCTCCTCCCCCGGGGCCAGAGGCACCCAAGGGGGGGGAGCAACCCAGCTGCCGGATGAGGTCCTGGGAGTAGCCCAACCGGTCGTACAGGGCCCCCGCCGCCTCCTGCGGGACCTGCTCCACCCAGTCATGGACCACGTTGCAACGCCAGTTGACCTTCACCTCAACCATGGAGGACTTACTCAGGCCCGACACCAGCTTGGTGTATACCGAGTCGAAAGCCCTCAGCGATGACAGCGGAAGGGTGATTCGCTCGTCGCAGACCGCCCTGAAACGCAGAGCCTCCTTGCTGTCGTGGACGGGGGCCACTGGGATCTCCATCACCGGCAACGGGCAGTTAACGATGAAATTCTTGGCCGCCAGAAACGTCCCCATCTCCTTGAAGATGTAGCTCCATTCCGCCTTGCTGCGCGGCTTGGGGATTCCCAGGCTCTCCAGGAAGGGCGCCGCCTCCTTCCTCATCTGGAGGATGTTGCCCATCCACTTGTCCGAGGCCGAGCCCTCCGCATTGCGGCCCCGGCGCTGCGTCTTCACGATCAGCGGGAAGGTGGTCCAGGCCGAGTAGATGTACTTGAAGGTGAACCTGTGGGCGTACAACCCCCGTCAGGCTCGGCAGGTCCCACGTTCTCGTCTGCCTGGTCCAAAACACTCCATCGCCCTTCGCCCAGAAGATCCCCACCACCTGCTCCGGCGCCGGGCGCTCGCCCCGGTTCACCTGCGCTCGGATCTCCAAGGCCGTGTAGATGACAGGGTCGATGTGGTCCTGCTCGCACGTGAGTGGGTGGGTCCTGCGCTCCAGGGCCAGAAGCTCCTCCGGCGTGAGCTTGAATTGCTGGTCCGCGCCCTTGGGGATCTCACCGCTGGAGTGCTTCTTCCAGATCCCCCCAAACATCCGTAGCTCACCTTGGTGCCTCTTCATCGCCCAGAGGAGCAGGGACAGCTGCCCTCCTCCGAGTCCACGTCCTGCTGTGGCATTGGCTGGTCCCCCCGGGGCCAGTGGCACCCTTGGGGGGTGTCGCCAGATCGGGCATCTCCTCCAGCAGCGCCTCCTGGTTCCATGGGTTCTGCGACTCTCTGAGCCTCCTGATGTAGGGGACATACTTCTCCTTGATGTCTCCCACGTTGGGGATGTCCTCGGGGTCATCCAGCTCCAGGGGGCAGAACAGCCCCCTCTCCAGTGCCTGCCTGAGATTATCTGGCCACGCCGACACTTCCAAGGGCTTGAGAGTGTGGTTAAGCATCCATGCCTGGTTGGTGTCCTGGGTGCGCTTGTTCGCCTCCTGAGCCTCCTGAATGGAGCCCATCGCCTCAGCCAGTGCCTGGCTGGCGTCAACGCCCTTCCCCTCCAGGTACTGGTCTCGCAGCTTGGCCTTGAATCGCTCCAGGTTGACCTTCCTGAGGGCCCGGGCTCCCTCATTGGCCACCTCCTCTGACGGCAGGGCCTGCATGCCCTCCTGGAGAGGCGCCAGGATAGCCATCTCATTGTCCAGCATCTCCTCCGTGACCAACTCCTTGTGCCGCCGCCTGGCCGAGGACTCCTCCGGGGTCGGTTCCCGGTGCTCCCTCAAGGCCTTATGCAGCTCCTCCTTCTTCCGGATCGCCTGGTCCACCTGGGGGTGGTAGAGCTGGAAGCTCTGAGCCTCCGCCTCCTTCAGGGACCGCTGCACTTTGACCTTGATCTCCTGGCACTCCCGGACCTTCAACGCCTCGTCGTCCGCCTCCATGGACAGGATCTCCTGCCGGATGTCCACCCGCCTGTTGAGCGGGACCACGTCTGCCATGGTGATCTCCTCTGCCGTGTCCGTTTTCGGAGGAGCTCTCCCCAGGACCGTGCCGTCCACCAGGTTGCGGTCTGCCTGTGCCCGGGTACCACCGGGGCCAGCGGCACCCAGGCTTCCCCCTTCCCGCTGCTGGATCCAGGTCGGCTTGCCCTCCACAATGAGCAGGTTGTAAGTGACGCCGTCCGCCTCATAGGTAGCCGAGGGTGCCTGGAAGGGGACGAACTCCTTGCCGGGCAGACCCAGCATTGCTTGGCTGCCTCCGGCCACCCCGTGCCGCATGCCTTGCACATGAATTTGTAGTCTGAGTGGCCGGCATCGAGTCTGTGCATCCGCTGGGTGCCAATGCACGCCTTGTTCCTCTGGAACTGTGAGGCCCAGACCTCCTCCTGCCGGATCTGGATCTTCATCGGAACATAGGCCTCCAGGATGCGAATCACCAAGTCCTCCGTGAGATTCTTCCCGACAAACTTGTGGAACAGGGAGACCGCCTCCTCCACCGTGACGTCCCTCAGCAACGTGGCCGCCGATGCCGGAAGGACCGGGAAGAGGTCTGGGAGGTCCACTAACTTGAAGTAGCCGGGACGGCCCTCCACCGGCACCAGGGAGACCGGTTTGTTCACCTGAGCCGTGGTCTTCTGGGAAGCCGCCACGAAACCCTTCAGCCTCTTCGTGGGTGGAGTAGCCCGCTCCGTGGCGTCCGCATCTTCCATGTCCTTGTCCTCCTCCTCGGCGGGGCCAGGGGCACCCAAGCCGGAAGTCGGTGTGGAGAACGCCACACGGAGACGCTCCAGTGCACTGGAGAGGTCGTTCATCACGTCGGTAGCCGAAGCCGACGGGGGGGCCTCGGGCTCGTCCAACACCAGGCCGGCCGCCACTGCCGCCTCGCGTGTGCGGATTTCCTGGGCCGCCTGGCTGGCCATTTCCACCTCCTCCGCGGTGAGCGTCTGGTCCTCAATCAGCTCGAAGGAGGTTGCCGAGGTTGCCGAGGAAGCCATTGCTTGATCGGTTCGGGGGTGTTCAAACTCAAATCTTTTTCACACAAATTGGGTTCAGAGAACCCAGGGCAAAGCTTGAGCCAAAATGGCATGCGCCATTATGGTCAAGCATTGCCAACACAGTTCATGTTTCCACATGCGTTTCAACATTAACAAATTGTTTTTGTTTTTTTCCTTTTTTTTTTCCGGATGGTGAAGGGAGACTTTGGGTAGTCTTTATGGTAGGACTCCCAAAAGTGAAACCAACCACCAAAAAAAAGGGCTTGACCCGGGGCAGCGTTTGGCCACCTTGGGCTTGAGTCGTCCTTGAGAACAAGCGACGTATGGCGTTCTCAGGGAATAAGGGAACGAGTCACATCAACTGGTTTGCCTCAACATTGGGGGAACCCACGAAAATGGATGGTGTCCTTTCGATTTTCCTTTTCTTCCTTTAAAACAAGCCTACTAAACAGGGTGCCCTACCCTCAAACAGACACTCCTGTGAGTGCCTTTCTGGGATCTTCCAGGGCCTTCCCCATCGAAATCCGTCTGAGAATCGGCAAGAATTAGTTTCGGCGGTTCATCAGTTGCTCCCCACACTGTCTGAACAAGTTCAGCAAGTGTGATCAAGAGTTGCCATGCAGGAAAAGTACCGTCTGCTCAAGACAAAAACTTCCAGGATCCACCAAACGAGCGGTTTGTGATTGGCCGGCATTTTGAGAGCACACTCGTAATTCCTCTGACTCAGTTCTACAGAGGATTGATGGGAAAGTGCGGTTTTGGCCGCACGACACTTCAGCTCCCACCATGCGTCACGGTTAAACCTCCGCAAATAGGTGGGTCATCGTCATGGTTCCGCAAAAGGAACCCTTGCTCAGAGGTGGCTGACCATCCCTCCTAGACTACCAACTTCGAAATAAGGTACTCTTGTTGACAATGGCATATGTGTTGTTTGTTTATTATGGTTCTTGTGTTTGTCTGTGTGTTGCAGGGATACATGACAACATGTTGCAAGGCTCATTGAAGGGGTTTGCCTCCTCAAGCATAGTCACCTGGGATCAGCTCGGTTCGACTATACATTTCAAGATGTAGATGGGTTGCAATTCACAGAAGCCATCTTTGATAAATCCTTAGATAGTGATCATTGGGGGGCTTGACCAATGACTGCTGATGCATCCCATCTTTGGCAGGTGTGTGAGTCTGTCCGTGTCTGTGCGTGAGCCTTAGTGTGTGTGTGTGTGGTGTGTAACTGCGCATAGCTTTGTGTAGCTGGCAATATGTACAATTTACAATACATGCCCTTCAAACCGTCAGACATCTGTGGCACCCCCATGCCAAGCAGCGCAGAATGTGCTGGAAATTCTGCGACTGGAACTGCACCGACATGGCTGAGGACTCCTGTTCCGGCGACTCAAATGCAGCCCTACCGGGCGTTGACCTGCAGCCAATATAGGCGAAAGGCACGCATGCAAGCTTTCAGCTACCTGGAGGTGGCAACAGGGAACCCCTGTTAGGCGTCCATGTTTAGTGAGGCCCATCAACCCAAGACAAAAACGGTGCCACTGGACCACCTAGAATTCTTCGGACAGAAACGAAACGCCCGGTTGCGTGGTTTGCACCCAAAAAAGTGTCTATCGTGCCAGCAAGTAAATGAACTGAAACCACAAACAAGGGGTTCTCTTACAGACCACCGGGGGCCCAACAAAGCTCAAAACGAAGCCGTGCAGCAGACCACTTGAATAGCAGCCATCTTAGGCGGGATTGCCAAATGGAAAGTGCCAAACCGTTTCGTCCCGCTTTGACCCCCTGCGACACACCCTTTCTTGAGGCTTGCAAGACAAAACATGCGGTTTTGATTGGTTTCCCCAAAGATCGCCCCCCCCCTCCCAAAAAAAAACCGGGGGCTTCCCTTAGTTGAAGACAACCCCCATGGTCAGGTGATCAAAGACTGGTCCAAGCTGTGACGCAGAGCCCTTCGCCTGCGAGCAGAACCTCCAGTGATTTCATGGGCAATGAGGCGCCATCCACCCGATTGACAATGTCAGGAACATTCTGGCCCAGTACCCCGAGCCCAAACTTGACGATCCTGATTCCGCAGGGCACCAGCCTGATCAACCGAACATTGCAAACATCCTGCGTGCGCTTCCACAAAGTGGCTTTGGATGTGATGCCCATGCATTCTGTGTGGTCAACATGTGGCCCCTGAAATAAGACTAAGAAACAAGACATATACAATCCAACGCTGAGGAGTCCGTCAGGAATTTGAACATCAGCGCCAAGGATGTGGGCTGATCTGCTGAAAAGCGCTTCAGGGCAACAAACCCCTCTCTGTTGTCTCACGTGACTGAAGCATAAAATTGCGAGAAGTGGCAAATGGTCGCGTCGTGTCCTAAACAGCGACAAACGCAAATGGATGTGTGTCAAAGTAGGGGATCACATCAATGGTGCTTTCTTTCGGTTTCCCTTACAACCAACATGAAAAGGGTATCCTCAAACAACACACACACACGCACACCCACCCATGTGACAACAAAGAGCTTCCCACGCCCCAAAGGAGTACTTTCCTCCGCCCAAGCTGAAGGTACGCCTGAGACGACTCGATGAAGGCCGGTGCAGCCTGACTGAACGGAGTACTTTCATCTGGGTGAGAACTTCGAATTGGCGATCAATTGGTGGACATCAATTGGGGATTCATGTCCAAACACCTTTGATTTGTGGTTCCGCGTCGTAGCCTGAAAATTGACACGGAGAACAGGTATTCCAACCAAACCGACCTCAAAACTCTGTTGTTTCTGACTCTGTGTGAATGCGGGTGCGAGATTGAAACTGTATCACCTAGATACGCTTCGCGTAGCTAACATCCTGAACATGAGCATCCCTTGAGTGAGTTTGGAGTAGTCCACCGACAAGAACCTGTCCATTTCTGAATAAGATGGTGTTCAGCCGGGGCATAGAACCTTTGTCCTTTGGCCGAGGTTTTGCGGGCAGCGAAGTCCCTGATCCATGAACCCAGTACACCGTGTGGCCATGTGTGGCCACTCCAAGACCAAACTGGCGAACGCAAACTGGCGAAGGCAAACCGGCTAGGGACGGATCGCTCGTGCGGATCGCTCGTGCCGCGTCGAAGCCAGGGGAAGCAGAGCGCAGTCAAATAAGCCATACTGTGGATGGACAAAATTCAATTCGCACCACTGTCACCACCCAAGAAACAATGGGGGACCATTGTTTGTTGGTATTTACGTTGGGGAATCGAATCATTCCCAAGGTTTCTTAGGTGGTGCAGGAGTTCGTCCATCCACAGTAGAGGCTCAGGACGGTGCATCATAAAGACAACAGTAGCTGCAGGACAGACTCGCTCTAGTTCAAAGATGCCTGTGTGTGCGTGTCCGTGGTAAAGGTGTGGATCTCAACCAAACTGAGTGGTGTCAGTGCAGTTGCCCTTCAAACAATTCAAAGAAGAAAAGCCGCTGGCTTTAACAAATTCTCCTCTGGGGGCTGACTGATTTCCATGCCCGCATTTCCCTGGATTCGCCCTCGCATTTGAGGATCGGGCTGCGGCTCGCTGTGACTCGCTTGCCCAAGCACACCGAAAGTGTTGCCTCTAGAAAGTGCAAACAGCGCCTTCAAACGGCTCTCTGTGGACTTGTTGAACCATGCCCATCAGGTCTAATACAATAGACTGGAAGCTTCCACAGATGCCATCAATGCCAATCAGCTCAATATGTTTGCCCTGCTATGCCCTGCTCCCGCAATTCTTCAAAACGCAAAGCTCTCGTTTCGCACATCTCCGGAAGGAACATGGTAGCAACCCTCCACATCTGCAGCTCGGTTAACCCTGGTTCATTTCTGGTGCAGCTGGGCTGGATGTGTCCTAATGCCCACTTAGGTCACAAGCCGCTTCGGATTCGCTGCGAAGGCATATTGGCTGGTTTCATTTTGATTTCCCTTTATATATCAACCCAAAGGGGGTCCACCATTTTCAGAAACTCCCACATAGGTAGCAAAGCAAGGAGGTTGGCCGGAAGCCAAACGAGCTTAGAAGGGCGACCAGCTGCCAGCGCGCTCCCCAAAGCCCGGTCTTTGGAGGTATCCAGAATTCAGTTGCGGGTCTGCCCAAACATCTCTGGATGGCATTCAACTTGCAGCCAGCCCGCAGCCCGCAACCCACAGCCTTCTGGCCAGAGCATCGCTCCTGAGGCTAAATCATTTCCGGGCAAACCGCCGCGGCGGAGTTTTAAAGAGTCGTCCGCTCTATGGCTGAGCGGCGAGCGAGGTCGCCTTCCACTTGCTTAAGACTTGGCCCAACTCTGGGGTCATGGGAACACCGAAAACCATATGTTCAGTGTCTGCTCCATATTTAGTCTACCTAACATGCGCAAACATGGCAATGCTCTTCTACACGCCTGAAGCTGTATTAAAACGAAACCTGAACAACGCTTACTTTTAGAGGAATCTGACTTGCTTTAGTGGTTCCACGTCAACTTGGGAGTCAAACCAATGGACAACTCAGAGACAAACAACCTCTACTAAGGGACAACTCAACCAAATCACCTCTTGAGCAAGTGGACGTTGCTCTTGCGTGTGCACAGCAAACCCATGCCGTGCAAAAGCATTGACCATCCGCAAGGTTGCCCGACACCTGATGCAAGCTCCAGTCATAGCAACTCGCTTCGCTTAAATCGGGAAACTGCCGCACAGGATGAAGAAAAGCATCGCAATGTCAAGTACATAAGGTCACTACTTAATTATCCCAGGGATCATTAGGGTGTGTCACAGGCTTTCCTTTCATTTCCCTTTAGACCCACCTACACACACATTCGGTCGGCGGCCTTTCCCAAGCGCTCTCTCTCGACAGGCGGGGAAACCAAGGAGGAGCCAAACCGATGGCCATTTTGTACCCATTGCATTGGAGGCAGGCTTGCCATAAGCCACAACTAACTTCTTGACCAATATACCGCAGTGGTTCATACCACAGATTTATATATGCGGGTACAAATATTGACTACGACATACTCCGATGAGCTTGAAGTACCCTCCCAGCAACTACCATGGCTGTTTGGCTTCCATGTCAGGGGCCTTGCTCCAAATCCACTTCGATCGGGCCCGCTCCGAGCTACTCAGTTCCTCCGCAGTCCCGTATCCAGCTTTTGACTGCTCTACTGTTCCATTACAGCGATGCATTGGAAGAGCGACAACATGCACAGTGCGAGCGCTGCAAGGCTCTTTTGGTTGACCTTCAAGATTAAATTATTGACCAAGGGGCTGTGGGGAGGGGGGGTTATCCCTTATTAACCCCTTAGTATGGCCTTATTGCCTCTTGCTTTGCCTCTCAAATGCCACCAAAAACACCAGGATAAAAAAAGGCACCCAACCGTCGGCTGAATTCATTGTGGGACTCCACCATGGGAACCAACATCGCCATGGGTGCAAGGGCTCATGCAATCAGACTTTGACAATAAGTGGTATGGCTGACTTAGGTGCATTCGGGTTCCCTATGAGATTCTTGACCATGGACGCAAACCCCTGGTAATGTTTTTTAGGCGAGGTCACCCACATGAAAGCGACAGCGGCCTACGTCGCAGGGATACCCTTCACAAAGCACAAACGGTATGCGTCAAAATAGGGGGAACCGCACAAAACAAGCGGCCTTCCTTTTGGAATCCCGTCTACACCAATTTGAAGAAGGAACCCTCAAACAAATATATATATATATATACACACACACACACACACACGCACACACACACACAAACACACCGGCTCCGACATGAGGAACTCCCTCAGACCCACAAGTTTAAAGGCCTGCCAAGGTCAGAACAGACACAATAAATGAGCTGATTTGCCCGGCCTCTAACTGGAAATCAGTGCGTCTTTTCTGGACGATACCCGTTCTGGGGCTGAAATACAATGGAAACAAAGGGACAACCACCATTTTGGGGGGTCTCCCTAAAAATAGACACGCCCAGGTACAGACACCCGGACCACAAACCACTGCCAAGGCCTGCGACTCGCAGCGCCCGCTTCGCGCTTTTCCGGAGGCCCGGTAGCCCCGGAGGAAAATAAGTGACAGACCCTACACGAAGCCGGCCAAGGACAGGACTAGCGATCAGTGGAAGCCAAGATCATTGAGCTGCCCAGTCAGGGGTCATACTCCTAGGTGTTCTTTTCACCAGTCAGTATCTGGGTATGGGTCAAAATTAAACCACCAGGACCACAGCTCTTGCCAGGGTTCCATTTGGGGTACCTATTCTTGACCCACAGCCATATATTAGAACCAAATACTAGCGAAACAGTGAAACCCACGTGGATTCACCCGAACTGCCCTGACACGGGCACCTATGGTCAGTATGTAATGTACCACCCAAACAGTTAATGGCCATGAATTGCAATGTCCGGTCTTTCCAAAAACAAGAAATATGTGGACGACTGGGATGTGTGTAAGCCAGGCGACCCTCTTCTCTCCGGATTTTCATCGTTCTCGAGGTCTCCTCCTGGTTGTTCCAACCCTCTGGGACACCCACTCCATGAAAACACATGTGTCCAATGTCTGGTTGAAAGGGTCGGATCCACGAATTCAATCCTGCGTTCAAATAACTGCTTCCAGGATCCCCCACAAAATTGTGGTTTCTTGCTACAAGTAAAACATATAGTACGAACAGACACCCATCGCAGAAACCGGAAAAACACAACACCTGCAAGTCTCTGGATCTCGAAATCCAGCCCCATCTTGGCCGGTGAACTTCTGCCCATTAGCCGAAACTCGGATGCCAGCAAGCTCATGTCCGACTGCGCGGATGCCGGCGCTTTTTTTTGTTCCTTCCTTCCGTGACATGTTGTGAGAGACCCCTCGGCTGCAAAAGGAGAATCTCATGAACTCCAGCTTTGAAGAGAGGCGGCAAGCCCTGGGAAGCGACAAGCCTTTGTGAGAGACCATTTAAGCTGGCTGGCTTCATGAGGCAAGCCGCAAAGGATGGCTTCAGCAAGCCGCATGCTTAGTGAGAGCAAAGGCCTTTGAGAGGTGGTCAAAGACTCGCATTCCGGCAAACAAGGATCGACGTACACACCTGATGTGCCAAGCAAAGCTAAAGAGGAGAACACACTCATCAAGTGGTTGTTTAAACTTCATATGTGTTGTTGTGCAATGTTTGATCACCCCTCTGACCTTGGTGCTACCCGAATAGGAAGCTTGATGGGATGAAATGCGCTCATGTATTTGGGGCATTTCTGCCATGCAAAACAACTGGTTTCCCTCAGAAAAAGGAGGTATACAACACCAGCCTCGGATCTCTGCGATCTTAGGTTGCCTTCCCATCTCGAGGCAACAAAACTCTCTTAGCATGTCCGGTGCGCACGACGCGCACGTTCAGAGGCTTGCTGGCACGCGCACGATCTTGGCACGCAACTCTGGCATGGTGACGCGGCGCTTCAGCTCTTCCTTGGCGAGTGACGAGCTCAGCGAGCCCCATCCAAGAGGCGAAGAAGGTCAGCCAGTGACTCCCTTCGCCGATCCCCCCCAAAAAAGCGGGGGCGTCCTTCTTCCAGTTGCCCAGTTTTCTCCAAGGGATTGAACTCCAGGCACCGGTCACCCGCTTCCCCAATTCCTTTTGAAAGGGAAGTAGTCACCAACTAGAACGCTTCTGAACAAAGCTTTGGGACAGATGGTGAATAGCAGAAAGGCCGCAAGCCCTACATGTGTTCAACATCTCAGCACTTGCAGTGAGGTTGTGCCACTTGAAACGCGCTCTTGGCACTTTCCAAAGGCGATTTGCCAGAAGCAGGTCATTAGGCGAAGTTCAAGGCCTTGTCTTTTGGGGCGGCAAGTGCATTCGGTCTGGGCCATGCGACCGCTCGCATAGCCAAATATCGTTCCGAACGTCAAAACTGCGGATCCCTGGTTGCCTTCCCCTCTCCAGGCAACATAACATCTTGGTTGCTGTTGACCCCTCTGCACAACGTGTAACTGTTTGTGAGTCCAATGGAAAATCCACCGTGTCCCAAGAAGTTACAGTCGAAGATCCAAGCAAATAGCCACAAAGAAATTGGACTATCTGCAAAGGGGGCGGCCCCGATGTTTGACTTGCCACATAGATTCGGAATGAGAATGTCAGTTCTGAGTACAAATGTTCAATCGGGGACCTGTTGATGGACATCTCTAACAGGGGATTCATGTCCAGCAAGCAGTAGGTGCTCCCTCTTGAAAGTCCGTCAAACTTGGGCATGTGGCCTTCAGTCCTGAAAGCAAGCCGCTGCAAACTCAAAAATCGGCACCCAATAGTCGCAATCAAAAGATACAGCTGTACAAGTTACTACAACTGGCAAACCTGATTTGGAGGTTTTTCCAGCAAGGGGTCTTCAGCCCACGACTGCAAAACCGCAACGTGGAACCGTCCAGCGCTCTCTGCTTCATGCCTTCGAGACAATCCCCGATTCTTGTTGCGGTTCTTTTCTTGAAACTCGTAGAAGAGCGAGGCCTTCTAAAACCTAGGTCCTCCAGTAGAGGGGCTAGAACAAGGGTACCAACTTTTTTCTGTAGTCTAGTTTAGGGGAACCCTCCCCCAAGCTTAAAAATCTGACCGAATCCCTGGGTTTCCCCCAACGAGGGGACAAGACAAGCGTTCAGAGCAGCTCTGCAGCTTCGATCCTACAGAACGGTTGGGCCCTTTTCCTCTTCGCGCGTCTGAGTCAGGTAAAAGCGAAGCAAGCCGGACCGGAAGTCAAAATGAGGGGAAGACGTCAAAAGCAAAGCAAGAAGAGAACCAAGGAAACCAGCAAGCACACCAAGTAAAACCCAAAGGAAAAACCAAAGGGACTCCAAAGGAGTCCCCACCAGCTAGACCAACACCTTTCTCTTGTCGCATTCAGAGATCTTGGCCTTGCGCAGTCGCACATCTCCTGGGCCTTCAGCTCCTGTCGGCAGAAATCTCCGTCTGCTTCTTGCGCCTGGACCGGGGGGTTTTGGGGGGAGGGGGGGGGGGGGAGGGGTGAATGCAAGGGAGTCCTTACTGTCAGGATGGCTGCGAACTCGCGCCGCGGTTCATGAAACCATGGTCGAAACTATAACGTGTGTTGCTAGATAACGCAATGGTTGCAACCAATGCTTGGAACATGTTGACCACATGACTTAACAAGTTGACCATTGGCCAACGTAAGGAAACTTGAACTTAACTTCCTATTGAAACCAATTCCGGCAAAAGGCACCTGGTCGCTGCAGCTCACCCTTCTTGCGAAGCACCAGGCCGTGAAAGGAGCGAAACCTTCACGTGCGCGTCCGAAATGCCTCGTCCACTTGCTGGCGCAAAGCTTTGGTTTGTGGCATAGGACGCGAGGTCAGCAGCATCACGCTGCTGTTCCGAGACGCTGGGTACGACCTGTAGGTGTTCAGATGCTGATTGCCAACCTGAGCCACCGATTCGGCATGGGTGGCTCGTCTGTTTGAGTCTCGGTAGGCCGTTGTGCGGCTTTAAAGGGAAACCAACAGGACAACCGGCTTGCCAATCTGGGGGTTCCCCCAATGAAAAGACGCACCCATATAAGGGACCCATATACGGATAGTCTGACTCAACACGGGCAGAAAGCAATCCCTAGGACCGACGAATCGAGTGCCTTCCGCAGAACTTCATAGAAACTGCAGATATCCAAAAGCCCAGGGCTTGAAAGTGGCAATTTGAGAGATTTCCTGGCTCTCACTTGAGGTTTCTGTGCAACAACCGCATTCTTGTCAGAACTTCATAGAAACTGCAGATATCCAAAAGCCCAGGGCTTGAAAGTGGCATTTTGAGAGATTTCCTGGCTCTCACTTGAGGTTTCTGTGCAACAACCGCATTCTTGTCCCATGAAAACTCCTATGCGCCAGTTGACTTTTAGCTCGGAACCCACAAAAAAAAACAGATGTTCGCCTTCGGTTGTTTCTCTTGGCTCCAAAACGCCTGGTAGAAGTGGCTCCCAGCTGGCAAGGACAGGCGCCAGCGCAGGAACTTGGACTCGCGAAAGGCCTGGTGGCCTGGCCACTCCTCGTGGGTCAAAATCAAAAAAAAATCCGTAGCCGGTTAGCCCCCAGCGAACATCCGATTCAATCCAACCACTAAAATAGGTAACCTAAAATGGGTGGTGAATTCTCAAATCCCCAAAATGGTGCCAAAATGGTGTTGACCCACGGCCATATGTGCTGGTGGGGTGGTGGTGACGTGGCATCAGCATTGCCCTTTTTGGGTGCCAACATCATGGGTGGTGTCCCTTTGATTGCCCTTCAAAGCTTCCCAAAAATACCCTGAACAAAACACATGCTTTTGTTTATTATTTTTTTCGAGGCGTGAAAACCTGGCAATTGCGGGGTGGATGTCCCGTTCTTCGAGGTTGCTCGGGCTTGTGGTTCGAAAGGATCTCTGGAAATAGGGAAGCGTCAGACCTGATTGGTGTGGAAGATCCAAACTTCCATCTTTAGGGGGTGCCTTTGTGGGCTCGAAAAAGGTTGAAAGAACTGACCAACTCAACACAAAACTTGAAAAGTTGCGCCCAAGATTGAAATTGTACTGCACTTGTACTGAAGTTTCAAAGCTTTGTTTGAACACTTTAGTTGTGCTGAAGGTTCGACAGATTGCCTACCCAACAGGTGAGACATTGACCATACGGATTCGCGTTGTGAACATTAAAGCTACTTCTGTGATACTACTGGACAGCTTTCCCATTGACTCATTCTTAGGTACCGTACAGTAAGGATTCCTGATGTTCTCTGGTATTACAAAAAGTTGCTAAACCATCCCCGCATTCCCCCTATTCTGGCCTGAAAGCCAAAAGCTAAACAAACACGAAACACCAACAGGACAATAAAGACCCTTGGTTGCAGAAACTGGATTCTCCTTTACTTGCGTTTGACGTGGATTTGCTCGGGCCTTCCCTTGAGGGTGTGGTATTGGCAGGGTGTCACTTTTTCAAGGTTGACTGAAACAAGTGGCTGATTTGCCCAAACAACGTCAAATTGCCGGCTTCACGTCAGTCAAGGTGGATTCCTGGGTTCCTATAGGTCTATCCTCTTGAGAAGCATCCCCCAACCAAAAATCGGGTGTTTGCATGTGAAATGACTTCAAACAAACCTTGGAAGTCCCCAGGCTCCCTTTCCAAGAGTAACATCCTCCGTAGACCAAAGTAGTACGTCCAAAGTGGCATCCGCAAGTTTACCGACATGGTTCTGTGTCAAAATAGGGGGAATCCCAAGAAGCTTGTGTTGCTTCCGGTTTCCCTTTAAACCAACCTGGAAAGGGTACCTTCAATTTCGCAACCCCACGTGGCGAAGCGAAACAACCCCAAATTTGTCCAGAACCCTCAAATTGCAACATCTTCATGAGACCCAGGGGTATAAAACCACTTTGCCCGTGTCCGAGCTGCCGTCTCCGGGATGACCACCAGGAAGGCTAAGTGCGTCTTCCTTTGCTGCGCCGCGGCAAGGGCCTCCAAGCAAAAGTCGGCGCAGCGCAGGACCATCTGCTCATCGAAGGGGGGGTTCACCTGAAGATGGCTTCCGGGTGCGAATCTAATTTGGTCCCGATCCCGGACCCCCAAGAAAGGTGGACATCATTTGTGGATTCATGGAACCACCACTGAGGTGGTTCCAACTCTTGCACATTTCATTAGGCGTTCTCTCTACCAAGGGAAACAGTGCCCATTATGGTGACAAGAGGCTGTAATTGAATGGGGGGAAGACATCCCAGTCCTGCCGTGAGGAAAAACGGATGGCACCCTGTACGACAATTTGCAGGGAATACACCCACTGTGTCAAAAAGCGTGAAAGCACAAAGATAATTGCCCCCCTCCCGCCCAAGCACAAATGACAACATATTATATATATATATATATATAATCAACCATGTTAAGCCTGGTCATCAGGCTGCGAGTTGAGGTTGGTTTGATAAGTATAGTGTGGGAGCGTGCAGTCAGCTTCAATCTTTCGGGGAGCCCGAAAACGACAGACCGGCCGACGAACTTGAACGCAGCTCTGGTGGATTTTCCGATCACCCATTCTCTTGAGAAACCAAACCCGGCGCAACCACTAGGATTTGGTGGCCATTGGCGGTTGGCCAAAAACCTGGCCGAGGCCTCGGCTTGCAGAAACTGGCAGACAAGCACGGCTCGCTCGCCCGCACCCCCCCGCACCCTCGCCCCTCCCAAAACTACCTGTCCCTCGGCCAAGTAAATAGGTGAGAAACTGTCGAAAACCGTTTTGTGCCTAACCACGGTTCAAAACCGTTTGAATCGCCCAACCAACCCCCTCAACCCCTTGATACCCCAACCCCCTCAACACCCCTCCCCCCCTCCTTCTTTCAGGGCATCGGTTTTGTTGGGGTAGGCTGCAGAAAATGTGCATCACAAGCCCGCCCCCCCAATCCCTTCCCCCTTCCCCCTCCTGAACCCCCCCCCCCCCACCCCCCAACCGCCAAACCCCCCCAAACCCCCAAACCCCCAAACCCCCAAACCCCCAAACCCCCAAACCCCCAAACCCCCAAACCCCCAAACCCCCAAACCCCCAAACCCCCAAACCCCCAAACCCCCAAACCCCCAAACCCCCAAACCCCCAAACCCCCAAACCCCCAAAAACCCCCAAACCCCCAAACCCCCAAACCCCCAAACCCCCAAACCCCCAAACCCCCAAACCCCCAAACCCCCAAACCCCCAAACCCCCAAACCCCCAAACCCCCAAACCCCCAAACCCCCAAACCCCCAAACCCCCAAACCCCCAAACCCCCAAACCCCCAAACCCCCCAAACCCAAAACCCCCAACAACCCCCCAAACCCCCCCAAAACCCCCCCCGCCCTTCCAGGCGCCTCCACCACGCCCTCCGTGAGCTCCGCCTCAAAGAAGGACCCCAACGACCCGAAGGCCCGGTCCACCTCGAAGGCGCTGAAGTACCGCCCGCGGCCCGCCAGCGTGTTCCTCGGGCCCCGAAGGCTGGTGCAATAGGCGGGGAATGAGGGAATGACTTTCGGGATTCCCAAGAAAAACATAGGGGGATTTGTTTTAAATCGGGGTCATTCCCTCATGCCCTGCTGAGCACTGGCAAGTGGTTGCTTGTTTTTGCCATTCCCTTTAAACCCCCCCTTGGGAGCCGATCCGATCTGAACTTTCCCATCTGAGGTTCAAAGGCGATGCGAAGGCTTCAATCACCGGATCTGAGGACCACTGCTCCAGGGCGGAGAACACACTCTGGGGGATGGCGCCCTGATTGCCGCCACCCTTCTCGTGCCTCGGCCAGGAACTTCCACAGTGTTATCCATGTATATGTAGCTATATACATGTGTGCATGTATATATACACACATATTACATACACGTATGCATATAAATATATATAGACATACATATACGTCTATTGTAGACATACATGCCGCATATGTGCCTATATGTGATGGTTCCCAGTATGTGTATGTGTCAAAGGGGTGGAATCCTGGAGGCTTCCCTAGAATCCAACAAAGGGTACCCTGGAACAAACCCACCCATAGGGGCCCATATGCATAGAAAAAACTGGACCATTGGGAACCCCCCCATTTGAAAGCTGGAAAGCTGTGCAAAGGAAGACATAACCGGAGAAAAGAAGAAAAAAACGACGTTTGGTTGTCCTGTTCGGGGAAAACACCCAAAGACGTGGGTCTGAGTCCAACGGAAACAAAGAATTGTCCTTTGAGACTCTCCCGACACTTGGGTCCTCCCCTCGAAAAAAGGGCGCTCCCACACACTCCCCCCCCCCCAAAGCGGCTCTGGTCCAGAAGGGCGCCAGGACTTGTTGAAACTACCGTGGCCCAGTCCCAGTTGTGTGTTTTAAGGAAGGCCCTAAACAGGGGTTGCCTTAAAGGGAACCAGGGAAACCGGCAAGCCGCATGTGGGTCCGGGACCCTTTTGACACCCAGCTCATATCCTGCTCCGCCAGGGCGCACCTGCAAAATCCGGTACCGTGCCAGCACCAGGAAGGCCGCTTCCTGGGGTGCGACGAAAGACCCCGGGAGCTGCATGTTCCTTTGCTGAAACAACCTGTGGGTGTCTTCTGAATACATATCATTGAGCACTTCTACCGGTGTTCATAAGTCAATGCTGGATTGCTTTTTTCCCACAACCGCCTTTTAGTCTCCCATGTAGTTCAAGTGTCTTTGCGCAAACAAACACATACTACCAAACACACACACACACACACACACACACACTTTGCCCCTTGCCTTAAAGCTGTCCGTGTCCGCCTCCATCTCATCAAGGTTTCGGAGCTTCGAGAGGTACTGCGGCAGTAGTTGCACTTCGCGCTCAGCGCAGGTCAAGGTCACCACGGAGCTTTGCTCCAGGGTGATGTGCACCTCCACCTTCTTCTTCCGCACCTCATGTGGATGGACGCCAAATCCCACGAAATCGCACCGCTTTAAAACCCTGGTTGAAACCAGTGTGTGTGTGTGTGGGTATTTGCAGGGGAATCAAATTATTCCAGGGTTTCTTAGGTGGTGCGAAATGGATTTCGTCCATCCACAGTAGTTTGAGGTCTGGTGTGGCTACTTTTGGGGTCTTTTGAGTGGTTCGAACCTCAAACTTGGTCTGGTGTGAGGCTCGGCACCCAAATTTTGGCTCCGCGCCACTTTCAAGATGTGTGTTGTGTCAGTCTGTTTGAGGCTCGGTACACAATTCTGGCGCTTGGCATCAAGGGAAACCAAAACGACACCGCCCCGTTTTGGAGTTCCCTGATCTTGAGACAAACCCTGCTTGATCTGTCTCAAAATGGGGGACCCACGTTTTGTGGGCACTGTGCCGACAATAGTTGGAGGCTGAAAACTGGATATATTCTAAACGTTTTTGCCCACCCTGCAAACCCAAAAAAAGAGTGGGAGGGGATAAGACATAGTCGCATCCTGAACAAGGACGCCCTGTGACAGCTTCCAATGAATCGGGAAAACGCTCCTTTGCAAACAAAAGTTGGCAGAGCGGGGACCAACTGGTGACAGACTCAATCAAAGTCGACCTGTGACAGCTTTCACAGGGTCATTAGTTTGAGAGTTTCTGGGAGTGTGTCCCTTTTACCCACCACTTAGGGGATGACTTTGATCATGGTAAAATAATGAGGCCGGTTTCAACAAATGATAATGAGGGAGAATGGAGAATCGCGAGCAAGGTCGTTTTATGGCAGCTTCTGATGATTCAACTGGCAAGCTGTGCCGACCATCGGTCCAAACACGAACCCGCAGACCTGACTGCCCCCCTGCGAACAGGTTCACCCCCTGCATGATAAAATGCCCAGTGTTCAACTACGCCGAACAGTCCGCTGCGTTCCTTGGCCCAACTTCGTGATTCTACCAAACCGACTGTGGATGGACAACATCCGTTCGCACCACTTGGAAACCATGGGAAACCATAACGTTTGTTGGCATTTACAGGCGAATCAAATCATGCCAGGGTTTCTGAACGGTGGTGCGAAATGGACTTCGCAACCATCCACGGTATGTAGAATATAATTTCGGAGGGGACTCGAGGAGGTACGGCTAAAGGCGAACCAAGCTTTAGTTGTTAAAGCCTGTCACACCGCTCATTCGATGATCCATAGGGAACTATGGGCGTCGAGCATACCCTGTTACCCTGGTCCTTTTCTCTGTCTAACCAATGGAACCACCTAAGAACGGATGTGGATGGACGAAACTCTGCACCAGCTACGAAACCCTGGTTCTGCTTCGATTCCCCAACGTAACTACCAAACCTTGGTTGACGTTGGAAGGGGAGCAAAAAAATATTAAATAATAATAATAATAATAATAATAAAAAGCAGTTAAGTGGGGATTTCCCCCTAAATTCACAAGCAACATGTACAATGTTTCCCCACAACAACCATGAAACAAACACTTCCCATGGTTTCAAAGTGGTGCGATTTCATTTGATTTGGCCCGTCCATCCACCGCGGTTTCCTTCATAAAAATCCACCCGCTTCGGACCCGCTTCGGAGGCGCCTTGGTACGGAGCACCTCCGTTAAGCTCTGGATGCGCCGGCGGGCCTCCTTTCTACCTGAGTCGAAACCCGGTATCAAAATGGTTGACACAAAACCATGTAAGGAAATACAAAGGCGGCCGCAACGATTTCTGGCTGGGATTGTCCCTTACTAACCTTCATCTACCCGGGCTTTGGTTGTGGCTCACCTGAGGTTTGCCAGTGAGAACAGTGGACTCGGGCTCGGATCTTGGGTCGAAATTGAAACATCAAGCGAAAAACCGATCCTTTTCGGGTGTGTGACATGTTGATGGGAAAAAACCAGGCTAAACCAAGGGAAAACGCAACACGAGAAGTCATCCCGCTCTTGGAATTCAAGGAAAAGACCTGGACTCGAAGCCTTGGAAAACCCGTCAAATAAACACAAGGACCACGCAGCCAACCGAAAAGAACGATTTATTTCGGCCAAATTGTTAAGCAAAAGTCAACTTAACAACACAACCAAAAACTCATCCAACCACAAACAGCCAACGAATCATTGGCTTCTCCAACCCAGCCAACACAACAAAAACTCGTCCACCCAGCGGAATTTCGGCCTCCATTCCATTTGCTTAAGACCCCTGGAAAAACTAAAAAAAAAACAGTAGTGATAGGTTCCCTTTAAAAACCAAGAGGGGAAAACAAAACAAAAATCATTTCAGCAAATGGAAGATAAGCATATTTGCCCCCCGCCCCCTGTTGATTTCCCGCTAAAAAAGTGTGTTCAAATATTGGCCATTTAGCAGCTGCCTGCCGCACGGGTCTCGATCTATGGCACGCACCAGTCTTCAAATAGGATTTGCTTTGTCGCGTAAACGGAGGATTATGTGTTTTTTGCTTTACATAGTCTTAAGCAAATGGAAGCTCCCACTTGGACCGAGCCGCTGAGCCCGGCGTTCTGCAGCTTTGCGGCCAAGGCCGCATCCGCAGCCTCACAAAATGAGCCAAGGTGACTGAGCAAACTGGACAAACAGGCGGGGGGGCTGGCCAGATCGGGGGTGAACCCATCGACATCTATATATACATACATCTACATATATATATATACATACATACATACATACATGTATATTATATATATACACACACGCACATATGTGTATATACATATATTATTATTATTATCATTATGATTATTGCTAATTCTTATTATTATTATTATGATTATTATTATTATTACTATTATTATTAATATTATTAGTATTGTTGTTGTTATTATTGTTATTATTTTCCTATTATTAGTATTATGAATATCATTATTCTTATTATTATTATTAGTATTATTATTATTACTACTATTATTATTATTGTTATTGTTAATTGTTACTATTGTTATTATTATTATTATTATCAGTATTATTATTATTATTATAATTATTATTATCATTATTATCAGTAGTATCATTATTATTATTATTATCATTATGATTATTATTATTATGATTATTGTTAATTGTTAGTGTTACTGTTATTATTATTATAATAATTATTATTATTAGTATTAGTATTATTACTATTATTATTGATATTATTATTGGTATTGTTATTACTATTATTATTTTCTTATTATTGTTATGATTATTATTATTAGTGTTGTTATTGATAATTGTTATTATTGTTATTATTATTGCTATTATTATTATTATTATTATGATTATTAATATTATTACTAGTATTATTATTATTACTATTATTATTATTATCATTATTATTATTATTATTGTTGTTATTGTTAATTGTTATTTTTGTTATTATTATTAGTATTATTATTATTATCATTATTATTATTATTATGTGATTACTTTGGGAGGGGGTTGCTGCCTGTCACAAAAACAAGGGAGGCTATTTGGAAGATCAAGTTCTTCAAGGGAAACTCTGTCAGGTGCCATGTTAGGAGGGTTGGTAATGCCTTCTCACATTTCAAGGCCACGTGTGAGCACTGCCCCATAGGGGCCCGATACTCCGAAGGGTGAATCCCTAGAGACATGTGATTTGTAGGTCAGCCTTAAAGGCCTTTTGTAGGGTCAATGCAAGAAACTACTCCATACGTGGGCATTTAAGGGCCTGATTTGGAGGGATACCAACAAGCAACCAATCAGCAACAGAGGTACCATACTTAGTGAACGCCCCAGATGCAAGACCCATCTGCATACACATCATGGCAACAGCGACGCGTTCGAGTATTTAGGTCCAGCCACTTCTGAAGGTCCAGGTGCTCCAACCATTAAACAAGGCCTTCAAGGTAACTCCTAGCAAGCGTTTGGGTCTGTTTTGTTTTGAGGGTAGCCTTTTTTGGGGGGGGGGGGCTGAAAGGGAAACCAAGTGGAAAACCAACACAATTATTCACCCACGGTTCCGAAAGAATAGAAGACCCTTGATTATGGGACGAAGTGGCTCTTCTTCTCCCAATTGCTGAGCTCTTCAAAATCTGTGCGCGCATCCGCATCCTGGTCCTATATATATATATATGGATTTGTGGCCCCTCCTTTTTGGATGGTCGTGAAGCAATCTCACCCAACAAAAAATCAACCAGGTTGAGCTGTCGGATGTTTTGAACCACACCCCATCCATTTTGAGGGTCCCGCCTGCCCGCCTCCCGGCGGCCCCCGCGCCCCGCGCCTCCTCGGCATCTTCCTCGGGAGCGCCCAGCGGCAGCAAGGGGTGGAAGCGCCTTGCCCAGAGCCAAGTCTCCAAGTGCCGCTTGCGCTTCTGCTCGTTGCCTCCGGCCCGCGGCCCCAAACGCACCGGGGACCCGGGGACCCAGAACAAAAAGAGCCGAGCGGTGTCCTTAGGGCTAACCCGAAAAGGTGGTGAGATCGCCCCATGGTGTGAGAAGAACTCACCAGCTTGGGGCGATGTCTCAATTTTAAATGTAGTTTCAGGGTCCGGGCACATTTCGAGAGGTCCTCAGAATGACTTTGGGTTCTCCCATACCCAATGTTGGCATTCTGCCGGTGGGTTCTGGTTCCCTACTTGCCTTGAAACAATTTCACCGGGAATGGAGGATTCCGTTTTGAGGGAAACCCAAACTGGAAAGAACCTAAAATTCAGACAAAACTGCTTGAGCCCTTGAGAACCCCCCCTCCCCAACAAAAGGTACCCAAGAGGCACGAGGGATTGTGCAGGTCGCCCCTAAGCATGGGTTCCCCAATAAACCTGCACTGGGGGGTCAAACACACTCTTGTTTTGAAGGGAACCTAAAGGACAACCACCTTGTATGCTCCCCTACTTTGAGAGACAACCCTAAAAGGGTCCAACTGATTTTCGCCTCCCCCACCCCCTATCCCGATTCGTGTTGTCGAGCCGCGGCCAGTGTTGGCACCCCCAAGCACCGGGGAGATCTGCTGATCATAGGTTCCCACCAGCCTTGGGCAGGGTGGATAATGGCCTGGATGAAACCCTAGAAATATTGAGATGACCCACTAACTGGTGCAAGAGTTTGCCCATCCCTATGACTACTGACCACTTTGCCACTTTAAAGGGGTTCCTTTTCACCCACTTTATTGGACAGATCGTCAAACACCTTGGAGATGAGTGTGCCCATCCCCACATAAAATCAATCCGCCATGTTTCCCATGCGAACCCCGCTAATGCACAAGAAAAAGAAACAATGGTTCTGGTCCTTCTTGCTTGAAGCAGCTTTGGCCTATGTGGCCATTGCTCCCCGTGCAGATATTTTTAACACAACATGGAGAAAAGATTAGAAAGGTCAGTGGTAGAAAAGAACACATGGACAAAATATCTTAAAAAGGTAAGTGAGAAAGCACACCTTCTCCCCCAACAAGTGGAGGCTCAAAGATCCAACCACCACGCCGCGTGGGAGCAGTTCCACCGCCGAGCGGCTGGTCCATGATGTCCCAGCGGCTGAGCTCCCGCTGAATGGACGCCGCAGAGCTCGGCGGTTTGGACTTCACCTGGCCCAAAGGTGCCCCTGCGGCGCTAACAGCAGCTTCCTACTGTGGATGGACGAAATCCTGCACCACTTTGAAAGCAAAGGCAACCATTCTTTGTTGGTATTTACAGGGGAATCATCATTCCAGGGGTTCTTAGGTGGTGCAGAGTTTCGTCCATCCACAGTATCATGGGTGTCCTTTTAGCAGAAATAGATGGCCCTGGTAGATGATTAAACCACCAGGTAAACCAGCTATGCTTCCTATACTTGCACAACATCCAGCCCCTGAAATCTTGCGGGAACCATAGCCAGGTTGTAGCAATAGTCTAGTGCTTTAAGGTAAACCAGAGGTCTGGAACTGTCAGAGGTCGATGGATTAGAAAGGGCGGTGGTTCCGGTACCCCCAACCTTGCTGGTTTGATAGGCAGGGAATGAGAATTGGAATGACCCCAAGATAGACCATCCAACTGGTGGTTTCCTGCAAGGCGACCAATTCCTGTTCCCTCATTCGCTGAGCACCAGCAAGTATGTGTCCACCCCAGAAACACCCAAGGAACTCACGGCCGGCCCGAAAGATGCTTAAATCCAACAGGAAAATGTAGCCCTGCGCAGCGATGGGGTCAATCCGGTTTGGGGCAAATCCTACACTTTGTCCAGAGCCCTGCCTATGTGTTTTTGTTTCCAGAAAGGGCAAACCTGCCCCTAATCACTATGACCATTCCAATAAGTTTGATGCGTGTGTAATAAGAATAAGGGCAAAAAAAAACATGAAAACCAAAGAAACAAAACGTGCAGCAATATTCGATGACACCCCGGGGTCTCCTCCAAGTTTCGTAACTTGTCGAAAATTCTGACAGAAGTGACACAAGAGTCAACCACCCCGCCTTGGGTGACTTGCGAACCTTCTTTGGCACCTTCTCCTGCACCTTCTCCGCTTTCTTCCGCGCCTTCTTCTGCACTTTCTTTGCCACTGTCTCTAGCACTTGTGCTGGTACTTTCCTTGCAGCCTCCCTGCCAGCCTGGGCAGAGGTAAGTCGAACATCAGCAAGTTATCACACAGAAAAAACAAAAAAACATGGGCGAGCACATGCCGAGTAGACTTAGTACCTTGTTGCCTTAGAGGTTGCACAAAAGATTAAATGCCCAAATATCATCAAATCACTTAAGACAAATCAACACCAATTGCTACTGGAGGAGCACTTGCGACCCAGCAAAAACTATTGCAATCTACAAGGCATGAAGCTTTCGCACGCCCTGCCTTGGGCAGTTTCGCTTGGAGCTTTGACCAGTTGGATCCCAAGCCGCTCATCCGCGCACTCAACGGGCCATGAAGCTCAGGGTCCGGGCGGCTCGGAGCGGAAGGCGAGGCGAAAGGACGACGGGGCGGTGCTTGGGCCACGGCGAGGCATGGGTTCTATGAATTGGGTTCCTTTCGGATGCTACACACATGGTCCTGTGTAAGCTGGAACCGGTTCAGAGCCTTTACATTCAACGGGTATTGTATGTGAAACTTCAGGGTTGAGAAGTTAGTTGTCAGTGTCAGTATGTGTATGTAATGCCACGGAGGGGGCCAAAGTCCAAAGTTGTCCTTTCCTCCTTGCAACTTGGGGCTTTCATTCATTGGTCCCTTGGGGTCGAACGAATACCACAACCCCAGTGCAACTATTTAGGCCCTATAAGTCATAATCCCCACTCGAAAGGGGTTTAACCCCGCTGCAAGTCTTTTTGTAACCTCCAAACCTCCATTTGCTTAAGCCCTCTGGAAAAATGCAATTATTCCCAGTAGATTCCCTTTAAAATCAACAGGGAAAATAAAACACAACATATTCCTTTTGCGGCAAATTGAAGCAAACCGCCTGGGCCCAACATCCACCCCTCCCCCCACCCCCAACCCCCCGCCCCCCCCCCCCCCTCACCCGCCCCCCTCCTCCCTCCTGACCCCGGCGCCCGCCATAAATCGGCGAGTCGCCGCCAGCTCCTTGCCCAACGGGCTGTTGATGCCCGCGGAGCCCCCCACCCCCGCCGCCAGCGTGGCCGCGGTGCGGTCCTCGGAGTCGATTTAGGTCGACCGAAGGCTTCCGCTTCCCCCACGTGGTTGGGTGGTTGGGCGGGTGGGCGGTTGGGTGGATTGGTGGTTTGGTGGTTTGGTGGTTTGGTGGTGAAATGGGGTGGTGTCTCAGATCATTAGGTTTTTCAGCTTCCGGTGGTTTGGAGCCCGGCGGTTTGGTCGCCGCCTCCCCAACCCTCTGGAAACAACAACACACCTTCTCAAAAGGTGAATTCTGCCACCCGTACGACGTCGTGTTGCTCTTCCCGAGCAAAGATCACCTTAGCTTTGATGGGCCAGAACCAAAGAGCAAAAGCCATTTAAGTGTCTAACAGAATCCTTTGGACCTTTGGGGTCACAACCACAGAGACCAAAAAAACGAACTCTGCCTGACCGACCCTCCCCGCTGACTGCCAAATTCTCCCTCCGAGTCGGCGGCCACTTGCTGGAGCTCCTGCATGACCCTCGCGGCGTTCGGCGGCAGCGGGGCCACCTCCCAGCTGACTCGGCGTGTCTTGCCGAAGCCTCGACTCGCGCGGCGGAAGAACAGGGCTGCGAGGGGCCCAGGCGTGAAGTCGAAAAACCGGGGACACGTAAGGATTTGACTAAGGGGGTGGGGAGGAGGAGCAAGTGGGGTTAAATGAGGCGGCCACTTGTGGGTTCACTTGTGTTACTTCTGTTTGTGTGGTTGCTTGCGCCACTGTTTCGGTGGTTTGCTTCTTCGTTTTTTCTGGGGCAGGGGCTCTTCATTGGTTTCATCGCCCCAAACGGCAACTTGTTCAGGGATAGCCGGGAGCTCAAACCGATCATCAGAGTAGGACTGAGATGACTGAGATGGCTGGGCCCTGCAAAAGCAGGGCTGAACAAATCCCAACCTTGCCCTTACTTTCCGACCAAAAACGAACTCTAGAACTCCGATGACATGGGCCGTTGGTATTAAACGCAGCCAGTTGGCCCCGCATCCTAGTATTGGGAGAACCCTCGCTTGGGACCCAGGTGCGCGGTTGCGCTCACTCCACCTGGAAGCTGATCCTTGAGGGCAGGGCTGGGGCTGGAAAGCCCCGAGTGAAGAAAAGAAGACAACAAATAACAAGCACAAGCAACGTGCCGAGTTTGCCAGCTCTTGTGTTCAAGACGGACCAACCATCTTTTCTGCGCACATAAATGAACATGTATGGGATGACCTCGGAAAAGAGAAAAAGGTTTGCTTCCCGTATGTTTCCTTTACAAACAGCCCTAGATTCAAGAAGACCTAGGTTCAAACACCATCCCCCCAGGTTCAAACACCCCCTAGGGGTATCTACAAACACCGCCCGGCATTCCACTTTCCGATTTGCTCCGAGGTGCCGCTAGAGCGGTCCCACACTACTCCGCAGAAGTCCTGCGAAGGCCAGATCTCAGTAGGGCACCTGGAACCCTTGAACAGTGGCTGGTGTCTTGGTTGCTGTAACGACCCTGCAAAAAGTGAGCTTAACTTTTTGGGGTTTTAGTGGAAAACACCTAATTGTTTTCAACCAAAAAGTTAAAGTCTAAAGATCCAACCCAATAGCAGTCAAGGTGTCTCCGTGGTTTTGACTCGAACACCATGTGCCCCCCTTTTTGGACAAGCCAGAACAACTCAACTGGATGGTTTCTTTGTGTTGTTCACTTGAAAACCAGGCAAACGCGTCCCCCCCCCATTTTTGGACAAGCCAAATCAAACACGCAGATTCACTCGGATGATTGAGCAGTCCCGAAAAAAGTTTGCTGAAATGGGTCAGGTCCTTTGCCTAATCGCAAAAAAAGGAACATGTTCAAGGACTGCGACGGGCTGTTGCTTCAATGATTCAACCAAAGTGCTTGCTCTGTGGACCCGGCTCTTGTTTGAGACCGCTCTAACTGGGTGGGTTGCTCTTGGGGTCCAAATTTCAGATGTTTATCCTCTCAAACAAAATTGCTGTTACAAGGAAAGGTCTGCACCCCGATCTCGAAATGTCCAGTCGGTCACTTGTTTCAAACATGGAAGTGGACCAGGGGTCGTTTCAACCTGGCTGTGGGTCAAAACCAATGGGATCCCATTTTGGGGTAGGTGCACCACCCCATTTTAGAACCTATTTTAGTGGGGGTTGGGATGTTCACTGCGGGTACGATTTGGATTTTGACCCATGGCCACTTCCCTGACTCTTGGTAAGTACAATGTAACGGGGGGAGCAGCGACCTCAAACGACCTCGGTGGTAGCTTTCCGGGTTTACCCTTTCGCGGTAGCTCTCGGTTTGGCTCAATCATGAAAGTGTACACTACCCCGCACCCCACCCCAATTTCCCATCCCCCCCCAAAAAAAATAAAGAAAAGAAAAAGGGGGGGAAAAAAAAACGAGAAGCTCAGGTTTGTCAAGGGTTGGGCTTAAAATCTAAAACTGACCATGAACAAGGCTTTTCTTTTCCATGTAGCTGTGGGCCAACACATGGACTAAAACCTGCGGTCCAATTCCTGGTGGCTTAAGTTTTGACCGGAATCATGTGACTCAAGTTCCGTCCTCGAGGGCCACCTCCAACTGCTCCACGCTCAGCGGCCTGGGCAGCAGTTGCGCCCGCAGACCCTCCAGGCCAAACCCACCTGGCGACGTCGCTTCAGCCGACGGCAGGTGGGGTCAAGGCGCGGGTCGGCTGGGTTTGCATCGAAACCAACACCTAAAACCTAAGGGGGGGGGGGTGGTGAGTTTGGTTTTTGACCCCCCTGGTGGATCTGCGACAAATTCAAGGCAGGCTTCTTTGTACTAACACCTACACTCTCTCCCACGTTGCCATGGCACCTGACAAGGAATTGGGCCCTCCAAGAGGAACTTGATATGCCAAGTACCCGCTATGTTAGTGGGAGGGGAAACACAACGGGGGGTGGGGTTGGTTTTTGACGCCCTGGTGGATCTCAAACAAACGAAGGCAGGCTTCTTTCTACTTCTGGGAGTCCTTCTTTTCAGCACAACTGCCCGAATTGCAACCAGTTTTGAGTGACCTCCCAAAAGAAGGCCGGGTGAAAAAACAATCAACCATCTGGAAGAATTCCAATCCATGTGTGTTTCTGCGCTTCTAAAAAGTATCAAGTCCAGAAACTGGCAAAGTTGGTTCAGTGATTTTGTTGGATGCTTCTCTGTCACTGTAGCCATTACTTCGATGGTGCGGGACTCAAGTGGTTAGTAAACATGGTTACAACCCACTCACTATGTATGGTTGTAATCCCCCAAGTGGGTAAAAGTCGGGCTACTACCCAACAACTCAGCCTCAAAGCAAACACTCGCGCGATGCGAGCTTCAGTCTTTGCAGCTATGTGGAAGCGGATTGCCCAAGCCGTGTGCGCCAACCGGCTTGGAAAATGGCTTGTTGTTTGGAACTGGACAATGACCGCGTGAGCCAATGCAAGAACGGTGCTCAAACTTAGCTGGATCCGGGAGTCTTCCAGCACAACCGTCTGGCTCTCGGTCAAAAGAACCCACCACCCAGGGCGCCCAAAATCGCACAACAAGGGTTGGCTCCCCTTAAGGCAAAAGCTGCTTCTCCCAGTTGGTCAAGGGTTGCTTGGCAGATCAAGCCTCCGAGAACGTGGCTTCAACATTCAGCTCCACCGTCGCCTAAAGCTTGGGTCAGCCATCGCACGATGTCAAACATCTCTTTGATCAACCTTGCCATGACTCTGCCTTCCACGACGTTGAACAGAATGTTCAATACCATCGTGTGCCTCCAACCACGCTGGAGTCCAAAGTCCACAACAGCCACTCTGCGCAGTGCCAAGCATTCCAGGATTGCTCGCATGAAGCAAACTTGTTGTCACCCGGGGTGTCCCAGCGTCGACTCTGACCTCGCCAACCTGTACTTCAGTGGGGGCTTCTGTTGGAGGAACTCACTGTTGGGTGGTTTTTGAGGTTAACCAAAAGGACTGTCTGGTGTATGTGTGTGTGTGTGTGTTTGTTTGTTTTTGTTTGTTTGTTTGTTTGTTTGTTTCCTTTGTTGTTGTCTTTGTCCATTCCCTTTTGGTTTGTTCTACTTAAAGGGAAACCACACAGAAAACCAGCCCACATGAAGCACGCCATTGTCGGTGCGGTGTAGACTTACACCCCAACATTGGGGCTTGCTGTACGTGTCCGTGCCCATGGCCATGTTCCACTTAGCAGGGGCAGGTAGCTTGCCCATCTGTCCACAAACATGAAACCCGCCAGAGGGTCCATAAATACAATCATTCCGTGTCAGTGGATGGGAGGGTAAAAGGTATAAAGTATAAAGTATGACCACGGCTACAGGCTGCTCAGCATGTCTCCTCAAAGTCAGCCCTGGGCAAGCAAACATCTCCCACTCAACGGCTTCGCATACAAAGCGGGACGAACCATCACAACGCACAAACAAATCTCCCTGCACCATTTGCTGGGTGTGCTGCACCAACAGCTTGAGCGATGTCAGTAAGCCATGCCACTGCCGGTCTACCCGTTATTGGCACGCCTGCCACAGTTCGTGCTCAGTGGATCCCGAGCCAGCCCGTGAGGTGGAAACCACAGGGCCAACGAGGGAAACATGGGAAAATGGCAAGCGGGCAAAAAGAAATAACAGCAAAAGAGAGGGAGCAATAAACAAGGGTAAACAGAGGCGAAACTGTGAGGTGAATTACAAAGGTAGGAAGTGTTGAAGGGAAGAAACGGAACTAATCCTGTAACGCAAGCCAGTAAATACATGTAAAGCCAGCAAACATGGGAAACCAGTCAACCGCGCCGAGAGGGCACAGCCCGCCTCCATCCTCGCACCTGCTGAGGCATGCTGGGTTGGGAGGGTTGGACCAAAAGAAGTCCCATTCGGTGCGTGTCAAAAGAGAAAATAGGGGGCCCCACACATGTTGTTGTTTCAAAGGTCAAGACACTCTCCCATGCTGAAAACGTGCGCAACACTCACGGGACGCTGCTTCAAAAGGGTTCAGAAATGCCCCTGACTTGAACAGGTTGGCAGGGGCTGAGGCATGTAAAATCTAGGGATAGACCACACGCCGTTGGGTAGGTACACCTGGTGTATCACTGGAAAAATAACTTTCACATAAAACCCAATCCCCTTCTTTTCCCATTTTGCACTTGAACCTCTGTGGCATTTTGCAGGGGCGCCTATGAGGGGAGCGTGGCTGGCCTTCCTGGACAATTGGCCATATGCTTGTGTGATTACACCTGTGAAACTTTAGCTGGAACCTATGCGAGGTTGCATGCAAAATGTCCGAGTCTCGGCCGTTCAAAATAGAGGGCTGGCAATGCTACTCCATAATCCCCACTGGAAAACCACTCCACAGGGGGCTTGTCTCCTTCGGAGTTTTGTTTGTAACCCAAACGCGTTCCCTGGCAACTCAAACCATCTGTATGTGTCGACCCCCAAAATGGATGGTCTTCCTTTTCCGTCTCCCGAAGGAACCCACGAAAAGGGCCACCTCAAACAAACAGACACCCACCCACCCACGCACCCACCCACCCACCCACACACACACACACACCACACACACACACACACACACACCACACACTTGAACTCCAGATGGAGAGTGCTAATCTTTCGAGTACAACTGATGAGTCTCGAGTACAACCGACAAGTCTCGAGTACGATGAGTTTCGGCTCGCAATGCACTTGGCTTCCCTGTAGGTACTTTAACAGGGAAACACAAACAACGGCGGTTCAGGGAGGGGACCAAAAGGACTTTCAGCAACATCACGACGCAGGTACAGGTGTCCACGTCTGGACACCCTTCCCACCTTTGGCAGTAGCTTCATTGCGTGCAGTATGCCAAAGGTGCTGCACGCCCCTGCTGCGAAATAGAAAGGGTGGTGACAGGGCATTCTGTCACTCCGCACACACACGCCCCTCTACGAGGGGCGAGGTTTCTCTTTTCTCCTGCAGGAAGATCACATGCTCAAACTCAAATCACTATCGTTGACCAAAATATCCACCACGGCGAGGGGAGCGAGACACTGCCCTAAACCGCTCAGAAGACGGGAACGAAAGATCACCACGTTGAGCGTTGCGAGTGTCGCCATAGAGGACTGAAGCGATTTGTGAAGCAGCCTGGCGATCACCATGAGAAAACGGAGTGGCATAGGTGAAGGTCTCCTCAACTTGAACGGCATCGGAGTTCCGACCTTGACCAAGAGTCTGATCCTGTGAATCGTGAGTTGCGAAGGACTCCATCCGAGACAGAATGCGCTGGTACCCTTGGTGTTGCCAGTCACGGATGTTCCATGCCTGGACTGGCGCTTCGGGATCCGTCACCCGCTGCCATTCACGAAAAGAGTTTTCAGGTAGATCAGGTACGGCGTCACCACGGTGCCATCGTTGAGGTTGTCCCGGAGTGTATATCCGCACCCACTCCTGATCATGCCAGACCGAATATTCGAGCCATGGATACTGCTTGGAATCATCGATGTCCATGTCAAGGCAAGAGGCAAGGATGGTCGCGGGCTCCGATCCAGCTAGTAGATGAACAAGCACCATGCACAACCATGTTCAAACAACAGCAAAGCAAGATCATGCAAGTGTAGAGGCCACCCTTATTTTGTACGCTGCGCTGCTCATGCACGGCTAGTCGTCAGTCAGCTCGAAGACGGGCCTCATCTTGTCTTGGCCTCTGTCGGACGGATTCACGGGCGTGTAGGGGTCGGAGACCCCAATCGTCTCCGATGGTGTGTTTCCACGCGATGCACGTACTGGTTGATGAGGATGGGATGTCTGACGTGCGCGGGCCGTCAGTTGTTGAGAAATCCCCTCCTGGAGACGAATCAGTTCTTCAGTGGAGAAATCAGCCGCATCCGAGGACCTGAGAATCGCGTCTAACAGCTCCGGCGATATACTCAACGCCGCCGACTGCGTGGCCACGTTATGGTGATCGGAGGGATACATGGAATCAAATTCATGACCAGCGTGAGGAGCAGCGATTCTCCGATAGCCCTCTGTGGCCCAGTCTCGCTTGTACCACGTAGTGACTTGGACTTGCCCATCGTCTGAGTCCTGGTTGGGAGCATAGAACTCCCGCCATTCTCTGAAAGTATGCGGAGGAGGTGGAGCATCATGTTCTTCTTGAGGCGTCCATGGTCCCGGATGAAAGATCTTGACCCACTGGGCATCAGGTTGTTGCGGGTCTGGGCACCATTCCAGCCACGGCATGACAACGCAACCACGGAAAAACAAGTTGATAGGTGTACGGCTGCAGACAACAACAAGTGAAAGCAACTCAACTATCAAAAGGCAAAAGACCACTTTTGTAGCACTGTGCGTCGCCAACATCTCAGGCAGACTCTCTAGGGAGGCGAGGACGGGCATCAGCTATCATGTGAATTAGATGATGCCGAAGAGGAGGTCATTCCAGCATACATGAGGTCCGGTGCACCCGAAGCGAAAACTGGCCTCGCTATGCTGGGATGTGGACGACCCAGGCGTTGATACCCCCTGGTGACCCAGTCCCTGTAATACCAAGTGTAGAAGGTGGCATAGGATACCGGTTGCAGAGCCGTGCCTATAGTTGTGCCGCCCGTGCTTTCCCTGGGCCAGTACACTTCGAAGTGGTAGACCTTGCGCCATTCCCGATAGGCGGTCGGGTCATCCGGGGCCGGTCCCAGGGTGTCTGGGGCTACTGGATGCCACTGATCCGGCACATAGATTCGAATCCATTCCACACTCGTTCCTGCTCGACCATGAACGATGTCATAGTCAAAATAACGAGGTAGGTCCCATCGTGCTGCACCCTGCACTGTACTATTGAACATTTCAACCCAACAAGCTGCTCAAAGGTAGCCCGGAAAGCGGCGGATACACTGAAACGACATGCACAGCACCAAGCAAGACAACCCAATGTGAGCACACATACAAAGCAAGCACAACCGCATCTTTGTCCAACATGCTGCTCAAAAATCAATCCGACTCATTCCAAGGATCATGGAATGGCGGCGGTGACGGTTCCCGCCACGCCCCATCCGGTACCGACGAGCCCACCGAGGACTCGACGTCCGCATTAACGAGCATCGCGAATCCCATGGATTGTACAGGAGGTCCAAGCGTTGGTAACCTCGTGTTTGCCAGTCCCGGTACTCCCACACGTGATAGGACACATAGGCACTGGGCGTGACTATAGGGTCCATTGTTGTTCCACCGGTGCTGTCTTCAGACCAGTACACTTGGAAGTGATATGATCTGCGCCACTCCCGATACGTGGAAGCGTACAGTGGGTCAGGAACAGGAGCCTCATCGGGAACGGGCCTCCAAATGCCCGGAGAGTAAATTCGAATCCATTCCACTCCTCTATCGATCTGGTACTCGAAATACTGGGGGTTCATAGCAGCAATACGTGCTTGTACGACTGTGAACCAATCGAAAGACTGCGACAAGGACACACATGCATTGCAAACCGCACATACACACTGAAGAGTGAGGCAACTTTTCAAACACAAGGTGAAACGCAGCAACGAGGTCGGAAATGTCAGACTCCTAGCTTTCACTGTCGTTGATGTCGCGCACACCTGCAATGATAGTGACCTGGCCGTCTACGAGCACAAGGGGAAAGACATTTCCGTCCATGGCGCAGGATGGCGTGACAGTAATGTTTGCACGCCGCCGAGGGGGATATCGATGGGCGGCCTGCACGTTTGGAATAAAACACTGTAAAGGGCCGTCGATATCGCCGCGGCGCCGAAGCTGATGCTGTCCGAGATCGTTTGGACGAGGGCCCTGGACTGCGTGGTTCTTCATCACGGGAGTGGTCACTGCTGTGAATCGAGCGGCGTGTGCGCTGCGATTTCGAAGAGGTAGGGCAGGATTGTCCACGAGGGGCTGAGATCGTGGGGCTGCGTACCGAGGGCATAAACTGTGGGTGAAGAATCACCGGTGGTGGTGGTGGTGGAGGAGGAGGTGGAAGAAGCAATGGCAAACTTGGCGGGGGCGGAGGTGACGTAGTTAACCGTATGGGTCTGTCGAGTAGAGCCCCGGGTCCATGAAATTGTAACCACGTCGGCTGCGCTCCATGGGTCCAGGTAATGTACGTCTGTACAACTTGTTCCGACATGATTTGAGCAACTCAGGCAAGACATCACAGCATGTCAACGACATTGCACAACACGACAAGCAAGATTGATTCACATGCGAGCAAGCAAATATCATGTGATCAACAACGCGAATCGGACACACCGCCGCTGCGTATCATTTGGTCAATCAATGGTCATTGCTGCATTTGTCGGGCATGGTGCTAGCCGCGAGCTTCAAGTTGTTGATAGACCTTCCATGCCTGCTTGACTTCCTCAATCGGCTTCTGAAGAAACCGCGCAATGGTCTTATAGGTGGGCCTGGAATCTTTATCCTTCTTCCGTCTCACCATTTCATCCAGCTCACCCTGTGTCCATGCCGTGAAAGGTTCACGGTACGCATTGCGAAGTGCAATGGTAAATTCTTGTAGAAGTTCGCGAGGACCATGGACCACCGTCGGCGACGGCCGGAACGACGAGGCACCTGGATGCGGACGTATCGAACCATCAGAATCCGACTCAGGTGTCGTAGGCGTCGTTTGTCCTGGCTCTCGTCCACCGTGTGCTGCGAAGGGAGCGAGAGGACGAGGCGGTGGCAGTCGATCTAACACAGATTCGGGCCGAGTACCAGGATTGTGTTCACTAGCATCACGATGTGCGGGTCGAGGCGGGGACAAAGCCGGTATATACCAGGTAGATGACGTGTCCACCGGTCGAGCCCGAATGCGTGTGGGGGATCGAGATCGGTCGGAGGAGGCGAGCTCCGT